CTCCTCCTCATCCTCCTCTTCTTCCTCCTATTCCTCCTCCTCCTCCTCCTCCTCCTCCTCCTCCTCCTCCTCCTCCTCCTCGTCCCTGTCGCTCTACAGGAGGAGTATTCAAACCTAGTCAAGCATAGCCTGGGGATGTTAAGTCGATGCTTTTTGTCTATTTTTGTTCAGTTTTTTTTTGTTTTGTTCTTTTGGGTATTTTAATCTGTTCGTCCACAATCCGCCTGTAGGGGGACATGCCCTACCTAATTCCAGCGAGGTTCGCGGGCTCCAGCACGCGACCGCCCTCCCATCCTGGCTTTAAGTCGGGCACGTCCCTCCACAGGAGGAATATTCAAACATAATCGAAACATAGTCTGGAGAGGATTCTTCGACAATGTTTTGACCATGCTGAGAAATAGTTTTGCTATATTTTTAGCTCTCGTCCACAATCCGCCTGTAGGGGGACATGCCCGACCTAATTCCAGCGAGGTGCGACGGCATGCGCAACTTCGCCCTTCGGGCCATCAAGTCGAGGACATACCATTCGAGACCACCATATCATGCGATACCACCATCTCATGCGATGGCGTTTCATGCGCTACCGTGCGACCAAACCTCCCAAGGTTCAGGGCCGGCCGCCACGACAAACCAGACACCAGGTGAACTGGCGCCGCACTCTATCCACGCAGCTGCCACAGCTGCTCGAGCTCTGGTGGTTCCATTCGGCGACGCCTCAGGCGAGAGCCTCTTGTTGACAAGGGGCCACCTCTCAGCCGTCCGAGTGCCGCATCACTGGGCAGTCGTGGCCATTTCCAATGGACGTCTCGGGAGAGAGCCGCATTGTGAAAGCAGCCTGCCTTCCATGCGTGTAACTGCCACACGCGTTTTCGACGAGCGCGCGCTGCGGGCAAAACTTGTGTCCATATCCACCGCAGCTTGGGGTTTCGGGCTCCCTTCCGCAGAAAACCGAGGAGCACTGGATATGGATAAAAATCAGGCCCCCACTAGACGCTCGAATTTTAACCATATCCAGTGCGCCTCGGCCTTGCGGCGCCCCTTCCACGAACGTCCAAGACGCCCTGGATATGGATATAAATATTGCCCGCACGCGCGGCGCGAAGGGCGAGAGCCCCCTTCCGACGAGGACCTGACCTGGCCTCCAGCCGTGGGGGCGGGCTGCAGGCCTTGACGGCCAGGGTGTGCGTGTCGCCAGGTCGGGAGCCCCGTCTCGCAGAAGAGCCGACCTCCGTCCATGGAGTCGCTGCACGTGTGGAACTCCGGCGACTCTGCCCCGCGCGACGGCGAGAGTCCCACACCGACAGGGATTCCCACACACCCGTGTGGCTGTTGTACGGCTTCGTCTTGCGGTCGTGCAGCGCCGGGAGGTCTCGAGGGACCGCCCGTCTTGGCCCACGGACACGTCCTGTGGTGCAGATGGGGATGCAGGGGGGATGTAGAAGGAACGACGAGGAGTTTTGCACAAGGAGAAGGCGTGGGGGGGGGGACGAAGAAGAATAGGCAGAGGAGGAGGAGGACGACGAGACATAGGAGGACAGGCGGCGGAGGAGGGGGAGGAGGAAGAGGAGGGGGATAAGGAGGATTCTTGGATGATGATGATGATGATGATGCTGATGATGATGATGCTGATGATGAGGATGATGATGAGGATGATGATGATGATGCTGATGCTGATGCTGATGATGATGCTGATGCTGATGCTGCTGATGCTGCTGCTGATGATGACGATGATGATGATGATGATGATGATGATGATGATGATGATGCTGCTGCTGCTGCTGCTGCTGCTGATGATGATGATGATGATGATGATGATGCTGCTGCTGATGATGATGATGATGATGTTGCTGCTGCTGCTGATGATGCTTATGATGATGATGATGATGATGATGATGATGATGATGATGATGATGATGATGATGATGGAGAGGATGATGACGATGAGATGATGATGATGATGATGCCGATGCTCGATGACGATGATTGATGCTGATTGATGCTGATGTGATGATGATGATGATGATGATGATGATGATGCTGATGATGATGCTGATGATGATTGATGCTGATGATGATGATGATGCTGATGATGATGATGATGATGATGATGATGATGATGATGATGATGATGATGATGATGATGATGATGATGATGATGATGATGATTATGATGATGATGATGATGATGATGATGACGATGAGGAGGAGCCATGAGATGGAGGTAGAGGCGGAACGGAAGGTAGGCGAGGGGGTTTGGGGAGGAGGAGGTGGGAAGAGGACTTTCTTGATCATGCTGATGACGATCCAGTATGATGCTGCAGATGAGGAGTCTGATGACGATGCTGAGGAGGAGGAGGAGGAGGAGGAGGAGGAGGAGGAGGAGAAAGAGGGGAAAGAGGAGAAAGAGGAGAGCGGAGTGGGGGAGGAAATGGAGAGGAGAGGAGGAGAGGAGGATGGGGGAGGAGGAGGAGGAGGAGAGGAGGAGGAGGAGGGGGAGGAGGGAGGGTGAGGGGGAGAGGAGAGAGGAGGTGGAGGAGGAGGAGAGGAGGAGGAGGAGAGGAGGAGGAGGAGGAGGAGGAGGAGGAGGGGAGGAGGAGGAGGAGGAGAGGAGGAGGAGGAGGAGGAGGAGGAGGAGGAGGAGGAGGAGGAGGAGGAGGAGGAGGAGGAGGCGGACGATATCCAGTAGATGGAGGAACGGGGTCGTGGGTGGGAATGTCGAAGGGGGTACCTCGGGGCCAGGGCAGGACTGCCGTTCGACGCGACGTTCAGAACAGGGCAGGTTGG